TTTTTTTGATTCGAGAGATTCAAGTCACACTAGCAGGTTTAGGTATTATGCCCCGATTCTGGTGGTTTTTGTGCCTCCTTCTCATTGCTTCTCTATGCGCTACCAGTCAAAGTCAGATCATCGATAAGCGAAGGATAGGTACGTTCCAATTTCACCTAATAACCGCAAAATCTAGATCGTTAGATGCATAGCAAACGAAGGATGATTTTGACTTACTCGACTTCACTATTAACAGCGCTAGCATCTGCTTGTACTAAAAAGGTACCCTAGAGAAATGCGCCCAGAGTTTGCCATCAAAGATTCTTATTTCCAGCTGCAAAGCTAAAAAATTAGATTTCCACTTACAAACGGATCCTTCGAAAATTACGGTACGACTACGGTATAAAATTGATGACCTTACGCCGCCGTTAAGCACATAGTAACTTTAATACAAATCGTAAAATAAAATCACACCCAGCTCAGCGTACTACTTTCTAATCAAATAAATTTGTTGCGTTTTTACAAATATCTAGGAATAAATGCCAGTGACCACGCCAGCATTAGACCACTTACAATTTCATACCGTAGATCTCTTATAAAAAAAGAAAGGTAAAACCATTTATGAGTGGAAGTTTGAACTCGCCCGTTCCACAATTTGGTCAGTAAGACCTAGGAACGATTTTGAGATAAAGGAGTTATTAAAGAAAGAAGCGGACGTTTTTTTGAGATGAACTATTTCACTGTTGCTCAAACGCACACATCCAATTTAACAAAAATTTTATCTTGTCATTGAATAGAAACTGAAAGCAAATTTGGAGACAAAAAATAATACATAAACTAAGTTTTCACTTGTTTCTAAGAATAAGCTTTTCTAACGAGGATGAAATACTATTTCTAGGAATGCGACTGCCAAACATGCTTCACTACAAACCAACCTCGATTGAAAAGCGTCGAATCGGCATGCGCTTACCTAATATTATCTACTTGAGGTCAGAACCTGAGAAGAAGGAGCATTGGGAGTACGACGCATTTTGAATAAAACTTTGTTGATATACAATATGTTTAAAGATTTATGTACTTAGAGCGTCTCAGAAATAAACGTTACGTTGTCACATGGCATTTGAATGTCATTGACTTTGAATTAAAGAAGAGATGAAATTATCATGATTATAGATTTACACTGTAATTTTGTGAACAATGTGGGTTAACACCTTACGGAGAGTCATCAGCCGAGTAATGAGCCGCATTATTTCAACCCATTTAATGATTCAATCCAAACTAAGACATTAATACAAGGGAAAGTTGTCCATCAAGGTTAGTTCACAAAACATGCCACCTTTACAATAGCCCCTAATATAGAACTTATTAATGTGCTGATCTATCCAGCGTCTTTCGGTCTGTATTCCACACATTTTGAACATACCTCAAAGAAAAACTGAAGGCAAAGTAGCTAATAGCTCTCACGAAGACAAAAAAACAATTTGATGTGTAAAGGAGAGTAGATTCCTACTGTAATTTTCGTGCA